ATTATCTAAAGAGATAGATTTTGAAGGCTCTAGAAGAGCGATTATATCATGACTTGAAGAGATAAATTTTTGAAGCTCTAGAAGAGTGAATAAATTATTACTTGAAGAGAAAATTTTTAAAGGCTCTAGAAGAGTCGATATATTATTACTTGAAGTGACTAATTTAAAGGCTCCGGAAGAGCAAATATGTTATTATCCGAAAGGATAAGTTTATTATGAATGATGTACTATTCTCTTCAAAGTCTCATAGAAATTTGTTGAGTTTCAAAGATATTCATCTCAATTGATATCATATCAAGATAGCAAATGTGAATACTTATATGTTATAATCATTATATCGAGTAGAAAATATCTATCAAAAAATTTTTTTATCCATTTTCTCTTCTAGTCTTTATTACAAATATTGAAATGATTAAAACAAATATTGTAGTAAACTAGAAGTTTACTAATTCAAATACTTTTATTATATGACATGACCAATTGTGCTATCTTGGGTCTTTCATGATGCGAAAAATTATTAAAAATTCATAAGGACATCTATTGAAGAGCTAGAAGATTCTTCAATTTAATGAACTTTCATGTTTTGCATGTTGCCAAGGTAAATTGATGATTAAGCCATCATCAAGTAAAATTGAGATTGAATCTCCAATATTTTAGAATATATTCAAGGTGATATATGTGGATTAATTCATCTACCATGTGGATCATTTAAATATTTTACAATTTTGATAAATGCATGCACAAGATGGTCACATATATGCTTGTTATCTATTCGAAACCCGACGTTTTTGAGATTGCTAGCAAATAATTTGATTTTGAGCATAATTTTTAAATTATGCCATTAAAACAAGTCACCTTGATAATGCCGATGAATTTATTTCTCAAGCATTAAATTATTATTGATTGGCTATTAAAATAAAGGTTGAACATCCTATTGCTCATGTTCATACTCAAAAAGGTTTAGCAAAATCATTTATCAAAAGGCTCTAATTGATAGCTAAACCATTATTTAAAAATAAAACTCTCCGATTATGTTTGGGGACATGCAATCTTACATGTAGCAACGGTTATTCACATATGACCCATAAGTTATCGAAATTCTCTCATCTTCGGTTGATTTATGGTCATCCGACATTGTAGTGTATATCCTTAGTGCTTCTTCATAAGAAAATAAAATGAGCACTTAAAGGAGATTGAGAATATATGTTGGATTTGAATCCTCTTTGATCTCTTGATTCATGAATAAGAGGTATTTTTACGAGCTCGATTTATTGACTTTCATTTTGATGAAAAGTTTTTCCAACATTAGGGGAGAGAGAAAAATAAGTAGTTGAAAATGTTGAAAAAAAAATTACATGGAGTACTCTATCTTTATATCATATTGAATCTCATACAAAATAATGTGAACCGAAGTTCAAAAGATAATTCATTTAAAAGGTATTACAAACCAACTACTAGATGCATTCTCGGATCCTAAATAAGTAACTATAATGCATGTCCCTACCGAGAATGCTCATATTAGAATTGATGTCCCGAAGGATAGTCTATTAATGTTATAGCTAATAAATCTAAAGCACCCCGAAGCATGGAAGACCGATCCGTTCTAAAGATAAAAATCCCTAAAAAAAAAGGGCAAGATGAAAATATTCACAAAATGGTTCAATATATTTCGATAATAGGCTTCCGGAAGAAGTCTAAATACTTGAGAAAAATCAAGAGATTTTGATAAATTATATCAATGCAGAGAGAAAATAGGATCGAAAAGAAATATCTATTGATAAGATTTTTACATATAATATTACAATTGATATTATGGATGAAAATAAAGATCCCGAGCCTAAATTATTGAAGAATGTCAACATAAAGATGATTGGCCTAAATGAAAAGAGCAATCTAGGCAAAATTATGTTATCTTATAAAAGAGTAGTTTTTTGAACCCATAGCTAAAACACTTGAAGATGTTAAGCTAGTGAGATACAAATATGTATTTATGCGAAAATGAAATAAGAAAGATGAGATTATAAGATATAAAGCAAAACTTTTAACATAAAAGTTTTCGTAAAGAATTGACATTGACTATGAGGAGACATATTCTCCTATAGTGGATGCAATTGTCTTTTGTTATCTTATTAGCTTGGGAAAATGTATGAAAACATTCATATGCATGCATTTAATGAATGTGATCATAGTTTATTGTTCATTTGAAATGATATCGGTATGAAAGTCCTAGAAGGACTTAACATGCCGAAGCATGTAATATATATTCTCGAGAAAAGAATTCAATTAGATTATAGAGATCTCTATTAGGATTATTTTAGTATTTGTTTTCTTATTTTGGTTTTTAGAAATTCAATTTATACTTTTTATATTTTATTTTTATATCTATTATTTATTACTAACCCGTGTGCATGTGATATAATCACTTCAATGATTATTTATTGAAAGAAAGTTATAAAAAATAACCCTATTTGTTCATATATTTTTATTTGAAAAAGGATTTGTTTTATATGTTGATAACTTAAAATATTATTGGAACTCCCGAAGAGATTCCAAGTGTCATAAGTTACCTAAAAAGAGAATTTGATGTGAATATCTTAAGAAAATAAAATGTTATCTCGACTCGTAGTTCGAGCACTTAGAAAATGAGATTTTCATTCATCAGTCAATCTATATCAAAAAAGGTTCTACAATGATTCTATATAAAGATCATTCATTGACTAGCTCAATGGTAGTTCATTCACTTGATATCCAAAAGGACCCTTTTTAACCTCGAGAAGATAACGAAGAACTACTTGGTCCCGAAGTACCATATTTTAGTGCCACTGGTGCATTGATGTATCTTGCTAATAATACTCGACTTGATATAGTCTTTTCTATAAATTTATTAGCAATATATAGTTCTACTCCAACATAGAGACATTGGAATGGAATTAAACATATATTACGTTATCTCCGAGGAACAAGTGATATGGGCTTATATTACTCTAACAAATCAAAGAATGAATTAATTGGTTATGCGGATGCGGGTTATTTATCCGATCCACACAAAGCTTGATCTCAAACTCGGTTATGTATTTACATATGGAGATACGACTATATCATGGCATTCTATGAAGCAAACTATAGCTGCCACATCTTCAAACCATGCAAAAATACTAGCAATTCATGAGGCAAGTCGAGAATGTGTTTGGTTAAGATCAATGACCTATCATATTCAAGAGACATGCGATTTATCCATTAGCAAGGAAGTTCCAACGGTCTTGTATGAAGACAATACCGCTCGCATAGCTCAATTAAAAAAAGGATACGACGAAAGGTGATAGAACGAAACATATATCACCAAAATTATTTTTCACACATGATCTTCAACCCAATGGTGATATTAATGTTCAACAAATTCGATCAAGTGACAATCTAGCAGATTTGTTCACTAAGGCATTACCTACCACAACTTTTGAGAAGATGATTCACAAGATTGGAATGCGTCGTCTTAGAGATATTAAATAATGTCTTCAACGAGGGAGACCAAAATGGGTATTAATGTGTGCAAGGAATAATCTACTCTTTTTCCTTCACTAGGATTTTTTTCCCGCTGGGTTTTTTCCTAGTAAGGTTTTAACGAGGCATATTCCTTGTACAATGGACATTCGAGGGGAGTGTTATAAAATAATGAATGTCCATATGAATGTCCATATACTTTTCATATCCCCATTACTTATAATCCTTAATGTGATTCAATTCACCATTCAATATGAGAAATTGAAAGGGTGATGCAATTGATATACTTTTAATTATTCATAGTCCCTTCTAATTCTTATCTCAATTTTGAGGCCTATAAATAGATTTGATTGTTCATTTGTTGATGTACAAGTTTCCTAGAGAGAATAAGAGAAACTTTGAAGTTCTTATCACTCATTTTCACATTATAGTGATTTCATTTTCTTCAATTCTCCTATCATTTCTATTTATTTTATAACAATATTATATTTCTTCCTTATTTATTTTAGAAAAATGTATTTCTTCCTTATTTATATTAAGAAGTTTCTTTAAAACCATACATTATAATTGTAAATAAAGCACTCAATGTTAATAGAAAAGATAATCCATTCCTTCACACAAAATCCCTAAACATTTCATAAACAACCAACCTGTCAAAATATTAACTTAAGTCTTAAATTTTTTTTTTTTTTGGTTCCTAACCAAAATCGAAGGAAAAATTCCATTTAGCAAATCAAGAACTTGTCTTAGACTAAGAACTCCGTTTTCCATCCTTGATTGATATCACAATAACACACACACACATATATATATATAAGAGTTTTTTTTTATTTTTTTATTTTTATTTTTTATGATTCGAAGTAAGGATACTTTAAGAAAATTTACAAGTTGACTTACATATTAAGTTTTTATCTAAACGATCTTGAGAGTCCACAGTAGCCAGATTCAGAAGGGCCACAAACAGCAACAAATGTTATGTACATGTAAGAACCATACCAAATTGGTGCGGCCCTGTGGCTCTTGCAAGCCAGGGCTCACTCGGCTAATCCAATTTAGAAGCACTCCTATTCTAGAAAACTGGGTCGGGTTATTTTTGTACTTTCGAGTTCTACGATCAGTATAGGAAAGAAAAACCCTAAACCATTATACAAGAAAAAGAACGAAGCTGCGCTTTAGCTTGTAGCAGCAAATAGTCTCCGTATTTCAAGGTAACCAATCCTCCAAGTTTTTCTGTTTTCATTTCAAAACTTTGTTTTGGGAGTATGGTGATCTGGGTTTTCTCTGCGATGATTAAAGAAAAGATGACGAGTCCGATTTAATGATACATTCCATTCGTCTCTTCGACGACAAAATGAGGGAAACAACGCCTCATTTTTTTTTTTTTGTTTTTAGTTTTTGATATTTTTTTTGTTTCTACATTGTTATATTGCAATTGGGTTTTTGTTTAAAACTGGAAATTTCTGCGCAGGAAATATTTTTGACATGAAATAAAGGGAACGACGATGGAGTGTGTGGTACAGGGAATTATAGAGACACAGGTATGCGTTCTTTATGGACCCTTTTTAGTATTTGTTTCTCTTTTCTATCATGTCTTAATTAAGATTTTTTTAGAAAGAAATTCCGATGGTTCTAATTCTGAAATCATGGTGCGATATACTGGTGATTACTGAATTTTGTTTAATGGAGTAATGGGTTCTGCTGTAGTAGGCTTTATGCTCGCGTTTGGTTATTGATGATTAGTGTTAATCACTGAAAAACAGTGTTGAATTTGATAAATAAGAGATTTATGTTATGAAATCTAGTAATGGAAGTGGTGATTTTTTCCCCAAATGATCGAAGCTGAATAAACTGAGCGATACCTATTTTCCGAGAATCCAAGCCAGGAATCTTATCCATCGCTGTTCTCTCTCTCTCTCTCTCTCTCTTTTAAAGTTTATTTGGGTTTGATGCCAACTGGTGATATGTTTGTGTTTCTGTCCATTTTTATTAGCAGTTTCCTTAACTTTGCTGAGGGTAGTTGTGGATTATGTAATTTAGAGATACGACCATTGATGGTTTTCTCAAATGATTATATTCAGAGATGCTGATTGAGGATCTTTTCCATCATTTTGTGTCTATTTAAATTTATTAACTTTATATAATTGGGTTTCTAATTTGTATTTTTAGGGGTAAGTGGTCATGGTTTTGGAAATGATGATTATTTCCCCAAATGATCGACACTGAACAAACTGAGCGATCTTTCTCTTCAGAGATTCCAAGCCAGAAATCTGATCCGTCGTTTTACATTTTTTTTGAAATTTATCAATGTGTCCAACTCTCTTTCTTACAAGATAATTGGTTCAATAATGGTTGCATATTAATCCTTCTGTTGTAGTTTATTTTTTAAATAAATAAAAAAATTGAAGAAGAGATATAGACTCTGGATGCCAGAGATGGAAGTGATGATTATTTCCCCAAATGATCGAAGCTGTATAAACTCAGTGATCTTTCTTTTTCCATAGAATCCAAGCCAGGAATCTGTTCCTCCCTTTTGCATCTGTTTCAGTTCATCAAGTGTCTATGCTTGGTTTTGTATTTTTATTTCATTTTATGCGTAGTTGGTTTAGTTCTGTATTTGTTATATGTTCTTGCTTTTACTATCTATAATTACTCAGCAATTTTTTTGAGTATAGATTGTATTCTACATGCTAGAGATGGAAGTGATGATTATTTCCCCAAATGATTGAAGCTGAATAAACTGTGCGATCTTTCTCTTTCCAGACAATCCAAGCCAGGAATCTGATCCATCTTTTTGTGTCTATTTCAGTTCATCAAGTGTCTATGCTTGGTTTTGTATTTTTATTTCATTTTATGCGTAATTGGTTCAGTTCAGTATTAGCTATACGTTCTTGCTTGTACTCTATGATTACTCGGCAATTATTTTTTTTCTCTTTACTGGAAGAGATTTTATTCTACTTTGTAGAGATGGACATGATAATCATTTCCCCAAAATGATCAACACTGAATAAACTGAGCGATTTTCTCTTTGGAGATTGCAAGCCAGGAATCCATCCTGTATTTTACATTTATTTAAATTATATCAAATCTGTCTTTAGTTTTCTGAATCCATTTTGGGGATAATTTGCTTGATATTTTTTTTTTATTTTCTTGCTTTGGATTAGTTATAAGAAGCTTTAACTTGCTAAAAATAGATGCTGGTTCCATATGTTAGAGATGGAAGTGATGATTATTTCCCCAAATGATTGATGCTGAATAAACTGAGCTAGCTTTCTCTGGAGAGATTCCAAGCCAGGAATTTGACCCATCATTTTACACCAATTGTAATTTGTCATTTCTGTATTGGACAAATTTTGTTTTCTGGATGTATGGGCCTTCTTTGAAATCTCAGCATTGTCATGTTACCTGTCTTCGGTGTTTTTGCTTTGTAGATTTGGTAGAGGTTGAAAGTCAGGAATTTGGTCAGTCAGTTTAAATGAATTTATATTTATCAAGTTTCTGTGTTTGGTTTTCTAAATTTTATTTTGTAGATTTATATTCCTACTTCGAAATCTCAGCACTGTTAAGTTGTTTCTCTGAGATGGTTTTCACATAGGTTTGGTAGAGATTAGTGTTTTGTTATAAATGGAATCTGCATATATGCATAGCTGTATGATTTATAATTTAGATATTTGAACCTGTTTTTGATGTTTATTTTTATTTTATCTTGCAGCATGTGGAGGCCCTTGAGATTCTTCTTCAGGGTCTTTGTGGTGTTCACAAGGAACACCTACGGATCCATGAATTATGCCTTAAAAGTGGTCCAAACCTTGGTAAGTGCACTTTTTTGGCAGGGGTGATGATTACAAATTCTTGAGCATGCTTGAGCAAAAATTTCTAGACCTTTTCTCGCCACATCTTTATTTCAAGCTTGATGTATTTATTTTGTTGTATGGTTTAAATCATCTTTCTATTGGTGTAGTAATTAGCTGAAACCATATTGATAGAAGCTCGTTGAGCCTATGACCAAATTATTTACCTAATAGCAATTTCTCTCTCACCTGCATAGCATTTTATATCATAGAATGTCAGGACTTGTCTCGGATTTTTTTGTCCATGTAAATATCTGTGGGGTCTTCCTTGCTAACATGGAAATTGGTGTGCCTCCTTTTCCCAGGACTTGTATCTTCAGAGGTTCGTCTGTTGTGTGATCTTGAGCGTCCTGAACCCTGGTAAGATATGTGATTTATTTATTTATTTATTTTGGATGGTTGAGATTTGTAGTTGTTTCCATTATGCTTCAAGATGCATGTGTGCTTCTTGTTTTCAGTGTTATAGAAGTCTTTTATGCTGCAGGACGGTCAAACATGTTGGGGGTCCGTTGAGGGGTGCTGGTGCTGAGCAAATCTCAGTTCTGGTTAGGAACATGGTTGAAAGCAAAGCAAGCAAGAATGTGCTTCGATTATTTTATGCACTTGGCTACAAATTAGACCATGAGTTGCTAAGAGTGGGATCTGCCTTCCATTTCAAAAGGGGTGTTCGGATAACTGTCACAGTGTCATCTATTAACAAGATGCTAAAATTACATGCCATCGATGATACTGTGCCGGTAACCCCAGGTATACAGGTGGTAGAAGTAACAGCTCCCGCAGCATCTGAAAATTATTCTGAAGTTGTTGCTGCCGTGTCATCTTTCTGCGAATATCTTGCACCGTAAGCTTTATGATCCCTTAAATGAATAGTGGCAAAACCTTCTGGACAGTTTCCTATATGTTTGCCCCATAGCAAGGGTCAAGGACTCCTCGGTGTACAATTTGTAACTTCCTAAACTAGCATTCTTCATTGTCGGTGACGAAAGGACATTTCTATTGAATTTTGTTGGTAATGATTTCTAATTGTTCTGAAATTTGCGATGTTTATTTTGCAGGCTTCTGCACTTATCAAAACCAGGTGTTTCAACAGGGGTTGTTCCTACCGCTGCTGCTGCTGCTGCATCTCTTATGTCAGATGGTGGAGGCACAACCTTATAGCACTGTTGTAGAGTTCCATGACTGTAGCAATAGGCCTCTCTTGAACTGATGCCGCATTAATCGTCCATGCCGCAGAACAGATTCATGCATTTTGATCCTGGACCCTCTATTTTTCTGTGTAAAGTTCTCGTGCAGTATTGATGTAAAACTGAAGCAACGGAGTTACAAGAACGTGAGGGTACTGTAATTATTTGTATTCTTTTGCTGGATTATGAGCTCCGAGGTGGAGTTTGTATATGTGTAGGCTGTAGGTAGAGGTGGCAAATGGGTGAGTGTAGGTATGAATGGTTGGTTGGTTTTTTACCCAATTATTGTTAAATTCTACGACAATTGTTGTTATTGTAACCTTATTTGACCTAATTTGCCAAATTAACCGAATTTTTACTAATTCTGACCTGGTTTTAACATATATGCTGGGTCTGAGATCAAGTGTTATTGCACTTATATGATAAAAGTAATTTTCTAATCAATTTTTATATTTTTGAATATAAATCTATCTTCTTAGTAAGATTTTTAGGTTAAAAACATGAGAATTAATTGCGTGATTTGGACATGAAAAAGGAAAGGAATTTTGAGAATAAAAATCCGTTACTAATTCGGTTATTTGAGCCGCTAATCCCAAAATAAAATAAAAATAAAATCTGTTCTATTTGCAGTAACGGTCATTAACAGAAGAGAGGGTGATCAACAAGGTACGAAAGCACAGCCACACGAAAAAGAAAAAGCTCCGCCCCGCCACTTCTTCCCAATCCAAGAAAACAAACCACCTCTACACAGACTAGTCAGTCACTTCTCATGGCTTCTTCTCTACTGATCTCTCACTCTAAAATCCTCTCTCCTTCCTCTCCTCCTCTCCCTTTCTCTCAATTTCCTACTCTCCTCCGTTTCCACCTAAAAACCACCAAAAAACAACACTACTCTCGTCATCTCAAAATCACTGCAACTTCAGCTTCAGCTTCTCTTGAAGCTCTAATATTTGATTGCGATGGAGTTATTTTAGAATCCGAACACCTCCATCGCCAAGCTTATAATGACGCTTTCGCTCACTTCAATGTCATCTGCTCTTCTCAGCAGCTTCTCAATTGGTCTCCCGAATTTTATGATGTGCTGCAAAATCAGATCGGTGGTGGCAAACCTAAAATGCGATGGTTCTTTTCTTTTTCCTTTTATTATTAGCAAATGCAAATGCAAATGCGAAAAAAAAAAAATTTATATATATATTTCTTTATGTGTTTTTTTCCTTAATTGAGAAATGAATTGGTTTTGCTGATTAGGTATTTTAAGGAGCACGGATGGCCGTCCTCCATCATATTTGAGAAGCCACCGAAGGATGATGAGAGCCGTGCTAAGCTAATTGATACTCTTCAGGTCTTAATTAATTAATTAATTAGTTAAGATTACTTGGTTTCGAGTTTCTCTTACTGATATTTTGTAAAATACTTATCATTGCTGTTGCAGGATTGGAAAACTGAAAGGTACAAAGAAATAATCAAATCTGGAATTGTAAGGAGGCAATTAATTTTTATCCACTTGTTAGTATTAATTTTGTGAATGAGTTTTTGTTGGGGTTGTTTTGGACTAATATTCTTTATCAGGTGGAACCTAGACCTGGAGTTCTGCGGTTGATGGACGAGGCTAAAGCCGCTGTAAGATGATAATCTTTACCATTTTGAGAAATGTAATATCTTGTCATGGTACATTTTTTCTTTTCTTTCAATGAATTAGTCCTTGCCTCTTTTGTCGAAGTTCATTGAGTTTACTCATTCCATTTGTATTTGTTGATTCGTAACTGAAATAGGTTCTGAACTTCTTATCAGAACATCTCATTAATTTTGTCGATGAGTTTATTCTATTTGTTGCTCTTTGCATGTGTTTTTTCTTTATATCATGATTTTATTGGTTTTGAAGAATTTTGTTATGTTTTTTGGTGTTGTATGCTATGATTGAATTCTCTTCCTACTTCCTTTTTAGGGAAAAAAGCTAGCTGTTTGCTCTGCGGCAACCAAAAGTTCAGTTATCCTGTGTCTTGAGAACCTTATAGGAATGGTAGGTCTGATATCGCCCACCATCATAATAATTAAAACGAGCATCCTCATTTTTATGCTTCAACCACTTTTGTTCATTCATTTATTGTTTCTTCTTTGTTATAGGAGCGGTTTCAAGGCCTCGATTGCTTTCTTGCAGGTATGTCGACACTCAACAACTCTTAAAGTTTAACATGTCTAATGTCCTTGGTCATAGGATGCACAATACTTCTTGAACAGTAGATGGTATCATTTTGGATTAATTTACCCTTCTGGACTCCCAGGTTTTTATAAGAAAATGATGTTGTGTTTGGAAGTGTTCAGTTCAATTAATCTGTCAACTTCTTTATGAGATAACTTACGGTGAATTGGTGCATGAGGGATATTTTTAATTTAAGTGAACATGTTGCTTCCATTCCACCTGGTTATGTTTCTAGTCCGGTTTCAGTAAAATAAGTCAATTTTGAGGTTGTTTCTGTTCTTTTGAGTGTTTACCACTTTCATTTTCTGATTTTGATGATCCTGATAGTGTTCTTTTGTTTTATTACGTGCAGGTGATGATGTTAAGGAAAAGAAGCCCGATCCATCAATTTATGTGACAGCTTCCAAGGTAGCTACCATAACATGAATCATAGATCATGCATACTGAGCGGGTATAGAAGAAGAAAGAAAGAGAATTTAGCTTATCCATGTAACCATGTCATCTTTTACTTGGACTTTATCAGGATCTAATCTCTAGTAATTTAATTTCTTGCAGAGGCTTGGTGTGTCTGAGAGAGATTGTTTGGTGGTGGAGGATAGTGTCATTGGTCTACAGGTAGATATCTAAATTCTAACATTTGATTGACTTCAGAACAAGATATTTTGATTTTAGTCAAAGGCAACTGTATGTTTTCTTTCTTTGTTGGAAAATCATATTGATTCACAAACTAATCAGATATTAATGGGAGTTAGTCAAGCAACCGGTAGACTGCTTTATCGCTTGTTTATATATATGACAAATTTCTTTCTCTGACGTTCTGTTTGGCCATTACATTAGCATGCGATACTCTTCTATTGAAATAAATAAATGAGAAAATTAAATAAAGAACACATCAAACACGAAAAGGAAACTAAAATTTGCATGTGCAGGCAGCAACAAGAGCTGGAATGCCATGTGTTATCACTTACACTTCTTCAACAGCCGATCAGGTTAGTTGTTTCCCTCCTCTGTAGCTATCCTGAAGAAAAGGAGAAATACTTTGTCACATTCGTTGCTACTTGCTAGTGACCGATAATTAACATGTCAGCTTCTCATTCATTTCAGGATTTTAAAGATGCTATAGCAATTTACCCTGATTTGAGTAGTGTAAGGTATGATGTGTATTTAATTTTTATTGCATATAGTGGACCTTTTTGCACTTTTCTTCTCATTGATATTCAATCCTTTATTCGGTACTCATCAACTGTGCAGATTAAAAGACTTGGAGTTATTACTTCAAAATGTTGTTGCTGCGAGCTAGGAATTTCAGCATTTTGCTTGATCGAAATATTCAGAACTTGTAGACTTTTCACAAGCTTTGGCTGTATGTCACAAATCATCCCTTTGGTTTATTCCAAATATAAAACATATGTATGTTAGAAAAAAAAAACAAAAATGTAACATCAACGAATAGTCCAGTATTAATTTATTTATTCATTTACAGCAATTGTAAAGATGCAAGCTGACTAAAGTTAGCAACTAAGTGATCTTTTTGATGATACAGAAGTTTTACATGTTTTTAGATAAAATACTGTGACATTTTATGTTTATTGCTTGAACCAGAACAAGTGTCTCCGTTCATTTTTTTTTTTTTTTTTAATGACTCTGTTTCTCATGCTAATTGTGTGCTCTACCAAGAAGAAGCAGAGGGTCTCCAAGCCCGTGTCCACAGTGTTTTTGGACTTCCCATTTTTGGCTCTAACGCCCTAACTAATCAATGTGGAATGAAAATACAGCAGCAGATCTATTTGAGATCAACCAGACAAATTATTTGCTCGCCCAGGTTCACGCTCATGGTTGACTGGCCAAGCCTTACTTAATATCAAAGAGCCTTACGGTAGCAGTCTCTTATAATAAAAGGTTATAATAAAAGGTTAGGTTATGGGTTTAAATTCTAACATATTAATTTTACTATAAGCTTTGGATATGTGAGTTAAAAAAAAAAATCATAAATAAATAAATTGCTCATTCGCCTCACACAACCATACAATTTAAAACAAGGACAAGAGGATAGGAACAACATAAACCACAGCATGTATATTCTTTTTATACTAGAATCCATATACTAGAATCCAATGAATGGACATTATTTTGTACCTTATGACATAATTGAATTTGACGTTATCTATCCACAAATAATGTCTATGCAGGTGGTCATAAATTGATCTTGAATCTTTTTTTTTTTTTTTGTCTTTTCCAGAATTTGGAGAACCCTCTAGTAGTTGGTGATATTTACATGAAATTAAAGTTATTTATCCAATTAAAGGAAATCTCTTGTGATTTAAAGCCAGGACAAACTAGGAAAGCATTTCATGACATTACTTCACTAAAAATATGGATTCTGTTGGAACCAGAAAACCACATGCAGTATGTGTTCCTTATCCATCACAAGGCCATGTTACCCCTCTGATGCACCTAGCCAAGCTTTTACACTCAAGAGGCTTTCACATAACCTTTGTTAACACTGAGTTCAACCATAGGCGATTAATCCGGTCGAGGGGACCGGAGTGTACTAAAGGCCTGCCTGATTTCCAATTTGTGACCATACCAGACGGTTTGCCTTTGCCACCATCCGATTTTGATGCAACACAAGATGTTCCATCTTTGTGTGATTCAACAAGGAAAAATTGTTTGTCCCCATTTAAAGAGCTACTTACGAATTTGAATTCATCGTCTGAAGTGCCTCCTGTTACTTCCATAATTTCAGATGGAGTCATGAGTTTTTGCATAACAGCTGCAAAAGAGTTTAACATTCCACAGGTTCAATTTTGGACAGCCTCAGCTTGTAGCTTCATGGGATATTTACACTTCAGTGAACTCACGAGAAGAGACGTCATTCCATTCAAAGGTATTTATTTCTTGGCTTTATCTTAGTTGCTACTTTTTATTATCCAGTAGTGCATGCAATTGCAGCGTGCTCCCTGGCTACTTCTTTAGTGACCGAGGACATAAATTTATCCTTTCGTTGTTTCAGAAGAAAATTTTCTACGAGATGGTGGTACACCTATTGATTGGATCCCTGGTTTCAGTAACATCCGACTAAAAGACATGCCAACCTTTATCAGAACCACGAACAATGAAATAATGTTTGATTTTATGGGATCGGAAGCAGAGAATTGCTTGAACTCTTCTGCAATTATCTTCAACACATTTGACGAATTCGAAAATGAGGTTTTAGAGGCTATAATTGCTACCAAGTTTCGTAACATTTACACAACAGGTCCTCTTCCCTTGCTTGCAAAGCATATCCCAGCTGAAAGTGAATCCAATTCACTTGGTTCAAGTTTATGGAAAGAAGATTCAAACTGTCTTGATTGGCTTGACGAAAGAGAACACAATTCTGTTGTGTACATAAATTATGGAAGTGTGACTGTGATGACAGAAACACATTTGAAAGAATTTGCTTGGGGCCTGGCAAATAGCAAACAGCTGTTTCTATGGATAATCAGGCCTGATGTAGTGATGGGTGATTCTGCAATCTTGCCAGAAGATTTTCTAGAGAAAATTGACGGTAGAGGATTGTTAGCAAGTTGGTGTCCACAGGATAAAGTTCTTGCACATCCATCAGTTGGCGTTTTCCTAACACATTGCGGGTGGAATTCTATGATGGAAACTGTATCCTCTGGCGTTCCAATAATCTGCTGGCCTTTTTTTGCTGATCAACATACCAATTGCCGGTACTCATGCACCAAATGGGGGATTGGAGTGGAGGTCAATCATGATGTAAAGCGAAATGAGATTGAAAATCTTGTTAAGGAAATGATAGAAGGTGACAGTGGGAAGCAAATGAGGCAAAAGGCTTTGGAGTGGAAAAATAAAGCAGAGGCAGCTACCGATATTGGAGGATCATCTTTCACTAACTTTGAAAAGTTCATTACGGAGGCTCTTTGCTGTGGATAGAAACCTGTAAAAGTAAACCTGGTACTATTCTAAGAATGAGGTATTCTATTTCTGGCATTTCACTTCTTGTGTGCTTCCCCATATAAAGTACATAATATTTTCCCACTTTATTTGTAGCATTTAGAGAAGTGATCAAAGATTGATTTGTGCTAGCAAACAGGATTTTGGAACCAGCGAAAATGGTAGAAATTATTGGCTTTGTGGTCGTATAGGATTTGGCGAGACGTGCCTTGTTTGGAATGTTGAATAATCGGTCACATAATTTTTTTTCCACCCATAATAATTAATACTGTTAGCTTAAGGTAAAACAGAGAAACGGAGGCGTAAAGTAGAGAACAAGAGAAAAATTGAGGTATCTGCTCAGTTTATTACAAAAGACTCTTGCAGTCTTTATAGGCAAATACAGAATAGAAATAACATAAAAATAGATAACAAACCATGTTCTCAGTAAATACAATAACTGAACTCCTAAAGAGTAGCTAGGACGACTTCGACTGAAACAGACCAAGAGAAAACATGCAGAACTACAACCATTATTATTCGTAACAAATACAAGAGCGTGGTAGATTTAATGCCTTACGTTCAGTGAATAAATCCTTTAAAATGCAGCATCTCATTAATGAATTTATTGAAATTATTGTAGGATGAGCCTCCAATGCTAGCAGCAGCTTCAGCTTTCTTCTTCCATTGCAAAGCTTTGTTTTTCATTTCCTTCCCTTTCTCCCCTTCCATCATTTGCTTAACAAGGGCTTCAATTTCCTCGCGCTTTACATTATGGTTAATCTCCATACCGACGTCCCAAACGGTGCACGAGTACCGGCAATTCATTGGTTGTTCATCGAAGAAAGGCCAACAAAGCATAGGTCTCCCATTACATATACTCTCTAAGGTAGAATTCCATCCACTGTGTGTTAAAAAAGCTCCAATTGATGGATGGGATAGTACTTCATCCTGAGGACACCAAGGTGCTAGGAACCCTCTATTCTTGATCTCCTCATGGTATTCTTTTGGTAAAAATCCAGAATTCCCCATCACCACGTCAGGCCTAACTATCCATAAAAATGGATGATTGCTGTTCGCCAGCCCCCAAGCAAATTCTTTGAACTGTTGGTCTGTCATGACTGTTATGCTACCATAATTCACATACAGCACTGAGCTGGGCTCTTGTTTATCAAGCCATTCAAAGCATTTCAAGTCTTCCTTCCACAAGCTTCACCTAAGTGACGTTGCTTGTGTTGGAGGCATTTGCCTTTCCAGCAAAGAAAGTGGGCCAATAGTATAAATGTGAGGAAACTTAGCAGCAATAGCTTCTAGCACTACGTGTTCGATCTCATCAAATGTGTTGAAGATAATTGCAGAAGCTTTTAAACATTTTTGTGCTTCATCACTCATGAAATTCAACATTATGTCATCACGGTCAGTGGTTCTGATCAAGGTTGGCATATCCTTGAGGCGAATGTTTTTTACACCAGGGATCCAATCAAGAGGCATATCAAGGGTTCCATCATTAATGAAGTTTTCATCTGAAAAACATTAACAAACAAATCCTGTCACACAGTGGAAAGCGAAGGATGTTGAGCCAAATAATACTATAATGTAGAACATAACAAAATGTTGATAGTGGTTGGTATTTTGCTTACGACCAAAACAAAAGATGTTACAAAAAGGGAGTTCAATCCATGGTATCAAGATCTTTCCTAAAGATTTCAGGAAGATTTGACAGTTAAAACAATGCTATACTTCGTTCGGATACCAAAAATAAAAAGTTTGGAATGAAAAAGAAAGAATAATATTAATGAATCAAAATAATATTTTAATATCAATTTCAACGTAATAGTCCACTCGAAAACAGAAAAAGAAAGCAAAAACGGTGGTTTGAATGAGAAAAATGCATGCACCTTTAAAAGGAACAATGCCTCTCTTCATAAGTTCCTCAAATTGCAAAAATCCCATTAGACCAATAGCTGAGGCAGTCCAAAATTGAACCTCTGGGATGTCCAATTCTTCAGCAGCTTCAATTGCAAAGCTCATTAGTCCATCAGAGATAATGCAAGTAACAGGAGGCAATTCAGGTGATGAATTTAACTTAGCTAATAGCTCTCTAAATGGACCCAAGCAATCTTTCCTGACTGCATCACTCAGGGCCCAAATATCTTGAGTAGCATCACGATCGGATTGGGGCAATCCATCAGGTATGGATTCGAACCTAAAATCAATCAAGCCCTTAAAAAATTCTGGCCCATTAGACCTGACCAAGCGTCTATGATTGAATTCAGTGTTGACAAAAGTTACGTGGAAACCCTGTGAGTGCAAAAGTTTGGCTAGTTGCATTAAAGGATTAACGTGGCCTTGTGCTGGGTA